AAAAAAAAGCGAAATTCTTCGCTGACTCTGACGATGACAGCAGCAGTAGCAGCAGTTCATCTTTTTATAATAAATTTTGTATTTTTTTGTCAACAAAAAAAATTTATACAACATAGAATTTAGACAAAAAAATGTTTATTTATTAGTTGAGGTGGTGTACAATGATGACATGTATAGATATGATTATTTCTTCTTTTCGTTATTGAACTGCTGATAGCCTTTTTGTTCAGGAAAATTTTTAGTATTGCTCGAAAATTTCGAAATACTTTGTTTCCATGTCGATGATTCTTTGTTCTTTTTTTCGTCCGGGTCTTCCTGTGGAAGACGAGAGTACTTTACTTTAGAGTAGCGATCCATTTTATGTGAATGCTGGTTGATGAAAGATTCGATAATTCTTACGCTGTGCTATTTATAGTAGCTTACAACCACGAAGTCTACAAATAAAAGAAAGTAAGCAGGTACTTGCACGTTTTTTCTATTAAACCATCTTCGGTAGATAAGACACGCATGCACGCACATACACACGCGCGCCCGCGCGCACACATCGAACATAAAAAAATTATTATTCGTTATATACCAATTATAATAAATATTTATGTATAATATTTATTATAATTAGTATATTTATTAAACTTTATTATCATTTGTATGTATTAGCGCTTGGGCCCTCCCCAGCAGCAGCAGCAGCCGCCGGCGCCGCCCCCCCCCCCACATATCAATCGCGTGTGTAGCCAGTATACACAATACGGTATTGCCCGTGGTAACAGTGGCTGTAGCTCTAGCGGTAGAGCATCGGCCTGCGGATCCGGAGGACGCGCGTTCGATCCCCCGATCCGTCCGTTTTTTTTCAGATAAATCTAAAAATTTTTAACACACGCGCGCACACACACACACACACACAATAAGAAAATCAAAACGCGAAACACAGAACGCGCGCGCGCGCGCGCGCGCAGTGCATAGGAAATCAAATCAGTGGGAGAGGGGGAAGTGCTGCAGAGAACGCGCACGCCACATCAGATCAAGCCACATCAGATCAACTCAGTAGGGGAGGGGGGGGGGGAGTGCGTAGAACACACTGGTATAACTCAGTAGGAGGAGGGGGAGGAGGTGATGCGCGCATAGGAATCAAATCAGTGGGAGAGGGGGAAATGCTGCAGAGAACGCGCACACCACATCAGATCAAGCCACATCAGATCAACTCAGTAGGGGAGGGGGAGTGCGTAGAACGCACCGGTATAACTCAGTAGGAGGAGGGGGAGGAGGTGATGCGCGCATAGGAATCAAATCAGTAGGAGAGGGGGAAGAACGCACGCCACATCAGATCAACTTAGTAGGGGAGGGGGGAGTGCGTAGAACGCATCGGTATAACTCAGTAGGAGGGGGGGGGGAGGTGAGTCGACAGCGCACGGGCCGATCGGGAGGGGGGGGGGGTGAGGTGAACATGCACACACCTCAACTCACACGCTTCAACTCAGTGAGCTAGTACCCCTCTGAGTTGATGCCCCTCTAGTTTACCTACTAAAGTATTAAAAAATATTCCATTAAATGTGACTAAATATTATGTTTTATTGAAAAATATCAAAAAGTATTAAATAATATTCGATTAAATATTATTGAATATGAAGTAGGAAGAATTTATTAGAATCGATTGAAAATTACTCGATTACAAGTGATAAAATAATACGTTTTAGTTGAAAATATTGAAAGGTATTAAAAAATATTACATTAAATGTGACTAAATATTATGTTTTATTGGAAAATATTCAAACACATTAAAAAAGATTGAATAGAATGTTATTAAGTTAGTTTTCATTGAAAAGCACTATTGAAAAATGATTAAAAAAGATTCAAATTAATCCTAAATTTTCGTTTTAATTATGATTAGGATTAATGGCATTAAAAAAGATTAAGCTTTAATCCTTATCTGGATTGGAAATCACTCATTTCATTAAAAAATATTGAAAATGATTGAAGTTCAATCCATTCCAATAACTTTGAATTGGTCATTTTTAGCAGGGATGGGTCAACTTGTTGGGATTTGGCATGTAACGTGTAATAGCCATAACGGCAATTTGTTAGCAAAAAGTGTCGTGGATAGCGGATTTGCAGGAAGAGTGCATGCTTTGCTAACAGATTTTAAAAGACCTGACTTAGACCGGTACCGCATCGGCTGTACCGGCACACCGCGTCGGCGCGCCATCCCACGACGATGGCCGAAAAGATGTCAAAACGTGTTGTCAAAAACTCTGAAAGTTCGAGAGGTAATATACATAGTAAATTATGTGTCAAAAACTATGTATTTTACCTATAGTAATTTACCTACCCACCACTGCCGGGGCCCCGCCGTGGAAACCAGGCCTCGCAAACATGAAAAATATCAGCTAAGTAGGCCCCGCCGTCTTTTTGGCCCAGGGGTCGGGAAAAGTCTAAACTCGGCTCTGCGTATTTGAATCACTGGTCATTGTTAGTAGAAGCGTATTATATATTATTACAAAGTGAAATATCTGTAACAGAATTACGAAGAGCAGATGTGTTCTTATGAAAAAAATTTGTTGCTTATATGGAACTTTTATATTGTGACGGTAATCGTCGTATTAGCGCCGTCGAGGGCGAAACCGTACGCACCAGTTACCGTGTGAAAAAGACAGATTTTCTCGCCACTCGAGTACGAACTTTCCCTTCCGTTCTTCGTGCAACTGCTAAAAGGTAAGCTGGCCAGCTTAATTTCGCGATCGCGGTATAATTGTTAAATAACTAATCCCTCGACTCGATAAAAAGCGTGCATGTAATATCTCGGCAAACAAAGAGTGGCGAGCGATCCGACACTGCATGTTGTCGTGCGCGCGGCATGTAAACATAAACACGCGGGCCGAATACGATGTAATGTTAAGAGGTAATAAAAGTTCTCGTATGTGATATTAACAGTACTTTCGGAGTGTTCATTTCGTATTAGTAGATAGTTGGTTGACTGACACCCGTTCCCTCCTTCTCTCCGATTTTTGTGTTTGATGTAGGTAATTACGCGCGCCCTTCAGTGTGATCGCGCGAATAAATTAATTAAACGGAATACCCACCCCGTTACAATATATAGCAGACGCTATGACATACAACGTTCATCAATTAATACATTTAACACAGAGTGTTGTTAATTGGGGTCCACTCTATGCACACAGTGGCTATGTATTTGAATCAGGTAATGGGAGGATAAAAAAAACAATATATGCAGCCAAAGGTGTTCTGAACCAAGTATGTCGCTATCTGTCTTTTGAGCAAGGTATCATGAAATTACAAAAACATCTGGAAACGAGAGGAGACTCACCATGTACAGAATTCATAAAATATTTAGATTGTAATTTTATTGAAAAAATCGTAAAGTTTGCATATAGATATTTTAGAAGAAAAGTTGTTAATACAGATATTTTAAGGCAGTTACAACTTCCAATTGGAAAAGCAAGAGCTTATAAAAAAATCGTTAAGGTGGGATGTGTCTTCAAATCGTGTGAAAAAGTGTTGTATATATCAAATAACTCATTTGCAACTTTACAAAATGAAAATTATATACAGATTCAACAATTTCTTGTGGAAATTGAAAGTATGAATAAGTATACAACGTATAAAAATGTTGCAGTCATTGGTGATGATCATTTAATCTCCGAGGAGTTATACTACATAAAGCAAGTCATGGAAATAAATCAGAATATTGACATAACGTATACTAAAAATATTAATAAAACATGTGTTTATTGCCACATTGATTCTCACAATTACATTTCACGTCTTCCTAATATGTATGAGAAATAAAATAACTTACCTTATCTGCATTCAAATTTCATAATTGTATTTCCTTTTTTACGCAAGTAATTATTTTATGAAAGAACTTTAACGATGTATTTCCTTGCACCTGGTCAGTAATTTTTTCATATCTTTATTTATTTATCATATTTTTAATTCTTGATACAAAATTTAAATTTATACATTAATTACATGAACGACTATATTTATTACGTCGTATATGTACGTAATTCAGGAATATATCAAATCAAATTAATAAGTTTGAACATAAACGCACTCAAGACTCTTTCATACAAGTATTTTTTGTGCAACAGAGTTGAAAAATAAACTTAAATATTATTTAATGAATCTAGACAATTATTTTTTCTCTTGTGAGCTTGAAATTATTAATTTTGTATACATTATAGAATTGATCAAATAATACAGGTAAATTTTTTATAAAATCCATATGAATTGGATACAAAATCCATCTTATAATCTTACAGAAATCCATCTCATATTTCTGAAAAATCTACCTACAATCCCGAAATAATTCATTTAAGAAATTAGGAAAATTTTATTTAAAATAAATTCACTTTAAAATCCTACACAATTCCATCAGTACTTGATTAGCAGTCCATTCAGAATTGTTAAAATATGTTCTGATACAAATTTTAGTAACATCTATTTGAATTGTCACGAAAGTTCACCTAGATTTCTTAAGCTATCTGTAAATAGGAATATACATCTAGATTGGTACTGAAATCTATCTAGATTTTTCAAAATATCTCCTTGGAAATCCACCTGGAAATTCACCTGGGTTTTGATTAAATCCATATGGATCGACGAAAAAATTTACCTCGAAATCCATCTGGATATTGGTCGAATCCATATGGATCGACCGAAAAATCCACCTGGAACTTCTCCTGGGTTTCGATTAAATCCATACTAATCAACAGAAAAATCTTTCTAGGAATCCACATGACCTTTGGTTGAATCTATATGGATCAATCGAAATATCCACCTGAAAATCCATCTAGATTTTAGTCAAATCCACATGGATCAACTGAAAAATCCACTTGGAAATTCACCTAGATATTGATTTAATTCATATGGATTGATCGCCGAATCCATCTGAAAATCTACCTGGATTTTTGCTGAAATCCACATGGATTCCACATGGAAATCCATAAAAAATCCATATTAATTCAGCTCGATATCCATGTGGAAATCCAGCCTGAATTTCCAGCTGGATTTTTTCAATAGGGGTGGCATCAGGTGGGTCTTTACTGCTCAACGCTGTGACGTCGGGGTCACTCTCAGGTACGCTTGGAGCAAGCGTAAACTCAGGGTTGCTCTGATTTGGCTATCGTGTAACACACAAGCCGGGACGAGCAATATTGTTGCGTTGAGAAAACTGTATGCTAACGGGGAATGTAATAACCAAATGTTATTACGAACACACCAGACTCACGCTTAATGTGTTCTTAAGGGACTTTAATGGAAATTCACCAGACTCACGCTTAATGAATTTCCAAAAGAAAGGCGGATTACTTAAAGAAAGAAAAGGATAGCCAGGTTTAAGATTTTACTTACTTTTATTTTATCAATTTAGTTATTATTAATGTTGCGTTCTCTCTCTGCTCTTTGGCCTCTTTCTCTCTCTATATGTTCTGAATATACTTGGGTGATTTGATGCTTGCTCCGGGACTCGCTCACTAGTAAAAACTTCTTATTACGGACTTCCTGGTGCTCACTCCGCACTTACTCTATCTGAACTTGACTTCCTCTAACTTAACTGACTGAACTGAACTTAACTTAACTTCCTCTCCAGCCTTGTACAGAGCTTTTTATAAGCCGTGGGTGGTTGGGTGGAAATCCCTTTCCTCAGGCCCATGAAGCGATAACGGCTAAATTTTGTATTGGTCGGAAATTTTCTAATCATATCCAAAATTTCTTTATTGGTCTGTGGGCGTGAATTTTCAGAGAGAGAAAGGGCGGTCCCCTTTTAACTTGGGCCCTTTTCTCCAGAGATGGCTCTCGGAGTGCCACTTTTAAGAGCAAGAGTAACGCTATAGCTTATAATTACTTATACATAATTGTACTAAACTTAATTAATTATGACGAAACATAGTGACTATTATGAACATTCAGAAAAATTCAAACCTTTTACGATTTATTATAAAATACATTATTGTTCTATTTTATTGGTTATTCGGTGACAAAAAGGTGCGCATTATAATGGCTTACAAAATTGATGAAAATCTATTTAATATTACGGATATTTTCTTAAAAATCGGTGGGAAAAAAAAAATAGATTGCATTTTTATGGTCCCCTTCCATTATCGGCGTGTGATAACACTTCACGATGTATACGCGATGATCGTAGGCCCCTGTCAACACATACGTGTGGGACAAAGCAGGATAGAGCGTTGATTGTAAGCTTGAGTACGCAGGCTCGGGCCACTATCAAAGTTTATATTTCGAATGCGTTTTCATCGTGGGAAATCAGGAAGGTTCCCACTCCGTTCGTCATATTTAATAATTAAATATAAAAAAAACTAAGTTATGGCTAGCCGTCACAACGCCATAGTTGCGACTGAATAATCACGTGAAAAATTTATTATTTGTCATTGCAATCGACTGGGCGAATTAAATCATCTCAAGGGCAATTTTTTGCATTTTCAGGAATTAAGTAATATTACTTAATTATCAAGACATTGATGCTTGAAGTTTGCAGATATACCGGATATAATTATTAATTTTTGTAAATAAAGTGAATATAGGCAAATAAAACAAAAAACGCAGTTGAATTGGGCAATTGAAAATCTATGGATTTAAACGTTAAAACATATTTTTGTATTAGTTTGCAGGCTAGACTGGGGAAGGTATATGGGTTAGCATGTGGACGCAGTCACTTATAGTCTGTTATATGATAAATCAATGATCAACGATGACATTGAATTTTAGTTATCGAATTAAATTAATCTGTCCACTGTATTTATTTACCAATTGAACCATACAATTTGTTTTTAACTGTCTACTCCTACAGCACTTGCAATCTGATTAAGTTTCATCATTGTACAGAATAACCGTTTTAATTTGCTTGAAAGATAGCAAGATCCAAAGTATCTATAATAATTTAAGAAAATAAATATAAGATTCAGTCAATTGAATTGAATCAAATAATTTTATTGATATTGGCAAGCTTGAGAATATCAATAAATTTGTTACTACAGTTGAAAGCTATTAGCTGACTTAGCTTTAACCTACATACAATGATGAAATTACTTTTAGAAATTAAAATTAACACTGACGTATTTTCAATTCAATCTAATAGCTAAATAAGTATAAAAAAATTTCATTTAAGAAAAAAGAAATTATTTTATGTATTTCTCCATGAATTTTCGATGAAATTCACTTCTCAAAGAATCATTAACAAAAGTATTTTGTTTCCTTTTAGATTCTGATTTAGCACAATTTTTAAAAACCACATCATCATCCCAACGCCTTCGAACTTTCATATCAGTTTTACTACTTTGTGCAGAATAATTCAAAAGGGGATTGCCAGACAAAATATTTTCCATTCGGATTCTTTCTTCTTCCTGACGTTTTTCCATTTCCTATAACATTACACAAAAACTATGTATTGTAAGTTTTTTCAATGAGAGATGGTCTTACAAATATTTGTATTTAACAAAGACTTATAATATTGAATCTTATACACTTAATCGGTCATATTTTAAATTAATTTTTAATTTTTAAAGTATTTTCATGAATCTAAAAACACAGATTTTTTTAAAAGAAATAGTACTCTTTTTTATAGTTACACTGATATACTTATTTAGAAAAATCTATCAGTTACATGGTTCAGTGAAGGTAAATTGTGATAGAATAAACAGAGACAATAAGATTACAAGAGAATAGCTTGCATGACTACAAATGAAAATATAACGAGTACTATATATTTTACAAAAGTAGAAATTGAAAAGATTAATATTATGAACTTATTAGTACATAATATAATAAACAATTCAATATTGGCATTAGCAAATTCTGACCTTCCTTGCTTGATCAATAGCCCGTTCGTTTCTTATATGTTGTAATTCTGCCATCAGTGCCTCAGTGTCGTCATCATCACTATTAGAATCTGAATCATCTTCATCTAACGGATCATCAGCATCTAAACTAGCTGCTGCAACTTGATCAATTTTTATTCTCTTAATAGGTGGAGCTTCTTTTGATAATTCTATAGATGTTTTACGAGGTTGCTCTTTACTCCTAGTTTCATGCTCACGTTCTTCTAATTCTTTTCGGAAATCACGATTTCGTAGTTCATCAATAGTACTTTGCCCATGTTCTCTGTGATATAATAAATATTTATTACAAATCTGGTGTTGACCGGAATTACCAATTATAATGAAACAATTATGATGATTTCTTTTATTTATTAAAGAAAAAATTTACAATCTGATAGAAAATAAATATCACTCATTAAATAATGACTGTTTTAATCATTTTATTATGTTAAGAAGCCTACATAATATGAACTAGAAACATATTTAGAAAATCTAATGAGCTTTGTAGACAATAGCTACCTGTATTTTAATTTGGTGTGTGATGGTAAATCACGACTGCTATACTGTTTAGAGATTGCACTCAAATCTTTCTCACCACGACCTTGACCACCTTTTGCTGGATCAAAAGTGGGCCTAGCAGCAGTTGTCATTTTGTATATATTCTTTGACAGACACTTGATTTTATGAGAATAAGAATATAAATTTTATTCAAAATCATGAAAATGAAAAATAGTATCTTATAAATTTTAATTTATTAATTTCATATAGTAAATTAGTTTTCCTATGTAATTATTTATTTTCAATTTAAATAAATGATATTATATTAGAATTATTATTAACAATCTAATTTAATTCATAATGTCCTTAACTGTTAGACCGTTTACAGGTTCTGTTCTGTTCTGTTAATATTCGTTGACTCAGCCCCCTTACCCCAGCCAGCAAAGTGTAATGGACAGTGAAAAAAAAAATACCATTCGAAATATCTCTAATTGAACCCTCCAAAAATGCTAATTATTTTAATTGAACCCTTTCAGTTGTCCCAAAAAAAATTAAAAACTATGATAATTTTTTCGTTTTTTGTAACTGCGATATCTTTAGTAATACTTAATATTTTTGTAAAGAAACAAGGCGAAAAAATTGAACCCTTGCTCGTTTTAATTGCATCCCTCTTACTTTTTCAAACATTTGCGTTAACGCATCTATTTGGAAAGAACATACAATAAAATTAGATTGTTGTTTTTGACATATATATTAATAATTTTGAAAAAGTAAGAGGGGTGCAATTAAAACGAGCAAGGGTTCAATTTTTTCGCCTTGTTTCTTTGCAAAAATATTAAGTATTACTAACGATATCGCAGTTGCAAAAAACGAAAAAATTATCATAGTTTTTAATTTTTTTTGGGACAACTGAAGGGGTTCAATTAAAATAATTAGCATTTTTGGAGGGTTCAATTAGAGATATTTCGAATGGTATTTTTTTTTCACTGTCCATTACACTTTGCAGGCTGGGGTAAAGGGGGTCGATGACTCTGGTATCGACTCACAGTATGGGTGTTCACAGAACGATTCTGACACTTAAATATGACATAAATTCTGACACTATGACACGTTGAAATAGGATATCTCATGTGCCACTGCGCAGCAAGCCATGCGCAGGTAATTTCTAGGGTTTTTAGAGGGGAGGGTATTTTGAATACAAAATGATAAAAATGAAAACAAACAAAAACATTACAATACATATTCCCCAAAACCAAACGATAAATTTTTATAAATTGACTTCTTTGGCTATCACATGTTATTAATAATGTATGAAATTTACATTTTTCTTTCTAAATACTAAATATTGTAATTTCATCAAGGGTCGCGGTCGAGAGCCGTAGGCGAGTAGGCCCGAAATGATCACGAGACTGCTGGCCGACCGCAACACTATAATAAAATGAAATGGGGAAACGTCAGAGTTGTCGAACAGAAGTACTTATTTTTCATGTTTCAACGTATCGATTTCCTTATAAGGTATATGGTTTTAAAAAGTCTAGATTCTCTTCTATTATCTGAAAAAAGATTCACTTCGATAGTTTTTGATTGACTCCTCGCAACCACTCAATTAATTATCGTCAAAAAGGACTTTTTGAGACACATAGTTCGGAACCGGCAAGGGCGTCTGAATCAACGCTGATAAACAACATCGAAGTATGTATAGCATAAAAAAAATTTCAATTTGAGTACGCACGATAAATTTTACTTACATGATTGATTTTTTTTCTAGATACTACACGCCGAACCAGAATAATATTCTTTTTTTATTTATAACTCGCAGCGTTTTTAAAGTATAGCTTCTGCCATCATTGTACCTTTTTTTGTTATTGACATTATTAAATCTCGTGCTAAAGTTATATATATATATAAATATAATATAAAATATTCTCTATAAACAATAAAAAAATAATTATCTATAGTCAATCTTGTTGGCACTCATTGTAGAATCCTCGTATCCGTTTTTTCTTTCTTTCACACTATACACACTACATAGTACACGCTTGATGCAAATGCGACTGTTAATGAGATGCAGATTATAATCAACTTGTGGCTATGAAAATGGTGCAAGCTGGTGCATGTTTGGATTTAAGGTAATCATAAATTTGTCATTTACAAAGTTGAGGTAAATACAATTTTCTTTTTCTTGCAGTCGATTGCATTTTAGACTTGTGCTTGGCAATGATAAAATAAACAGTCCATTTAATAGTGATCGAAGGTATGAGTAGGACTTTACATACAAATTTGTACGCGAAATTAAAGGGCGAGTGCCTAAAACTCGTGGTAGTGAAAAATCGTTGCCAACCCTCCTAGGCGACGACATGTACGCTGTGATATGTAAATATGGAAAACATATCACCATAGTAGACACGCAAAGTCCATTGTCTACCAACTAGTGCACTTGTGAGTACCTGAAAAAGAGCAGTGCAAACAACGAGTTTTCAAATTCCAATAAATATAGCTTCGCTAGAAATGACGCAAGTTAACTTGTTTTTTTTTATAATTATAAAAGTTTTTTTTTCTATTTACTTGACTCTCAGTTGGATAGTTTCATACATTATTCTGTCGAATAAATTTTAAGACAATAAATAAATTGTTAATCAAAATTAAGAAAAAAAATGAAATGATATATATCACGTATTGTACAAATAATAAGTGTATGAAGTCACGTTGTGATATATCAAGCCTATATACGAAGGTCGTTAGAAAAGTCCGTGCAAAAATAAAAACTGCTTGATTTTTTTTAATAAATCTTTTTTATTTTTCAACATAGTCTCCTTTTGGGCTTATACACTTCATCCAACGCTGCTCTAGTTTGTTAATCCCTTCCAAATAATAGGATTTGTCCAAGTCTGTAAAATAGGCATTCGTTTCTGCAATCACCTCCCCGTTTGAATAAAATCTTTTCCCTGCCAGCCATTTTTTCATATTAGGGAACAAATAGTAGTCCGACGAAGCCAAGTCTGGAGAATAGGGGGGATATGAAACAACTTGAAACCCTATCTCCATCAGTTTTGCGGCCATAACTGCTGAGGCGTGAGCTGGCGCATTCTCGTGGTGGAAGAGGACTTTTTTGTGGGCCAATCGTGGACGTTTCTCTAGTAACTCGGTTTTGAAACGATCCAATAACGATGAATAATATTCGCCTGTAATGGTTTTACCCTTTTCTAGATAGTAGATGAAGATTATTCCTTGCGAATCCCAAAAGACAGTCGCCATAACTTTCCCGGCCGAAGGAATTGTCTTCGCCTTTTTCGGAGCAGATTCCCCCTTGGTAACCCATTGTTTAGACTGTTCTTTGTTCTCAGGAGTGTAGTGATGTATCCATGTTTCATCTACAGTGATGAAACGACGCTTAAAGTCTTGCAGATTTTGCTAGAACAGCTGCAAACCATTCTTGCAACATTTCACACGATCTCGTTTTTGGTCAATCGTGAGCAATCGCGGCACCCATCTAGCGGATAGCTTTTTCCTCTTCAAATGTTGGTGCAAAATATTATGTACCCGTTCGCTCGAGATGTCTACAGTACTAGCAATCTCACGCACCTTCACTCTTCTGTCAGCCATCACCATATCATGGATTTTATCAATGATTTCTGAAGTGGTAACCTCAACTGGGCGTCCAGAACGTTCAGTGTCTTTTGTGCTCATATGGCCACTCCGAGAATTTTGAAACCACTTATAAACCATTCTAATGGAAGGTGCACAATCACCATAATGTATATCAAGCTTCGGTTTAATCTCCTGAGGCGTTTTGCCTTTGAAAAAGTAATGTTTAATCAATAGACGAAATTCTTTTTCGTCCATTTTTTTACAACCACTCGATTTCTATGATTGAAACGAATGTAAAACGCAAAGTAATTGGCCGATCTGGCTGAAACTTGATGTGTGCTCTTCCAAGATATGCCACTAACTGAAAATAACCTTGATACGCACTAGTAGGGCCATCTTTCTGACTTTGCACGGACTTTTCAAACGACCCTCGTAAATTCTTTGCTGGAAAAATTTCTAGTAAAAAGTTCGATCGATTTGTACTTGACATCAACTAGCAAAAATAATTTGTTTTTTTTATTGTTTGTTATCCTATACCTATATTTTCAAAGTTGATGAACATTAATTCTGTACATAAACTATTTTATTAACACATTAATAAAATTAAATGTTAATTGACGATTAACACAATAAAATTAAGAAATAAAATGTGAAGTAATAACAAGAATAAAAATAAAATTACATTTTACTTATAACTTTGTATTTATTCTCAGAACGTTGTTTATTTTACATATAAATATTGTACTTTTAAGAGATAATATGTCTCGCTTACTATAAACCTGCTGGTGTTAATTGAATAATTTTTCATTAAAAAGTCACTTCCGTAAAAGTATGAAAATACAAAAAATAATCTAAATCTTTGTTCGCGTTCTTACTTTACATAATTATATAGTTAAAAAAAATGAAATAAATTTTTCTTGTATGTGGACATAATTTTTCCGTGTCTTTAATTAGATGGTATAGTAATTTGGATATAAAGTAAAAAATTAATATACACTGTTGCATTGGATCAATCTTTTCGTTTTTATACCAGGTACCAGTAACATTCCTGTTGAAAGTTAAGCGGAGGATAGAATAAATGGTTGACACAAGATTCTATTTTAACAGAGAGATTTATTTGGACGTCTCGCAGAGAGTTGTGTACAGCCAGACGGTTACAATCCAAGTGAAGTTTAACATACATATATCGGCGGCTCGCAGGCCGCTATACGCAACTATAGTACACACACACTCTTACAGAGTACGCGCATGCGCACACATATGAAATGCTGAGCAAGCTATCTTAAACACTCCCTCTCTTGCTTTGCATTCCATATATTTAAATACAAAAAAAGAAAAACTTCTAAACATTAATTATGTCACATCTAACTTTTAAACTAAATTTGTTTAATTAAATAAATAATATATATATTTTGATCACAGAACGCACAATATTCTAATGAATATTGAAATCTATCTTACTATCTAAAATACAAAATACAAAATAGAAACTAACAGTTTCTCATAGTTAACTTTTGACTTATTTCATACTACATCTTTTTAATTAAGTACTTCTAAATTCATCTAAACAATTCATTATCGTCTCTAATCAACATTAGTGACAGCAGCCACCTCTGAAAAATTTAAATAAGAGAATGTTTTTACATTTATGTATCTAAAATCAATTACAATAATTCAATTCAATTACAATAATTCAATTTAATTACAATATTACTGAATTTTCTAAATGGTTGAAGAGGAAGTGGCTTAGTAAATATATCAGCGGTATTATCATGAGTAGATACCCTTCTAATACTGACTTTACCTTCTAAAGAACACTGTTTCACGTAATCTCCGTGAGTATCAGACAACTTTCTTTTAACACCTATTCTTTCTTTTTCATCCAAACGTTTCTTAATCTCTTCTAAAGTATCATCACAATCTTTAAGTTTGTGACTATCCTCCTTTTGGGTACAATCTCTGGCAGATTGATTATCACAGTACAGAGTAACTGGATACATGGTGTAGCCTAATATATCTCTTAATGCCTTATCTAACGAAACGATTTCTTTGCATGCCTCACTCATAGCCAAATACTCTGACCCACAATTTGAAGAGGTTACCAAAGTTTGCTTATGACTTCTCCATGCAACGGTGTCTTTATACAATGAAATGGCCAAGCCACTTGTAGAAGCGGAATCTGGCCAATCTTTAAAACTTGAATCAGAGTAAGCTTCTAAAGTATCACCATTACCTCTAAAAGTAAGTCCTAACTTGGCTATCCCCTTTAAATACCTAAGTACTCTTTTGACATCTAACCAATCTTCTTCGGTGGGATTAGATTGCTTACGCGAGTGGAAATTTACCGCGAAGGAAATATCCGGTCGTGAAGCATTCGCCAGATAAGAAATACATCCAATGATCTCTCTATATGGGACATTTAATTTTCTTCTCGTCTTTTCTTGATCTTGGTTGATTTTCTTGCTTCTAGCTTGTCGAGTAACCATAGGTGTTTCGTGTGGATTACAATCAGTCATTCCAAACCTTTCTAACACTTTGTAAACATACTCTGTTTGATTGATTGTCAATATTTTATTACTTCTATCTTTCTTTATAGTTATGCCTAAGAACTGTTTTGGTTCGCCCAAGTTTTTCATTTAGAAAACACCGCTCGAATGATCTATTATTTCTTATAATTTCTTTGAACAGTTGCTCGCCGCAATAATGTCATCCACATACAAGACTAGAAAAACAACAATCCCTTGATATCTATAAGTAAACAGGCAGGGCTCATTAATATCTTTTTGCAGACCCAGTTTTAGCACTTCTACTGTGAAACGTTCATTCCACTTCTTTGGACTTGTTTTCAAACCATACAGTGCCTTATGTAATCTACAAACTTTAGTTTTTTTAGTGAATTCATCTACTTCTAAGCCCTCTGGTATCTCCATATAAATTTCTTCATCTTCATTTAAAGTACCGTTTAAGAAAGCTGTTTTAACATCTAACTAGCGGACTTCTACATCCAATTTGTTTATAATAGCTAGAGCTGCTCTTATAACCGGCAGTCTAGAAACTGGTGCATATGTTTCTCTGAGCTCATAATTATTTTTATCCATAAATCCTCTAATAACGAGCCTACCTTTTCTTTTCAGTATGTATAATTCATCTAATTTCTTCTTAAATACCCAGCTAGAGTCAATAACATTTGCTCGTTTACCATTCTTCAAGACTGTTGGCCTGTCCACCAAACTCCAAACTTTGTTGATTTCCATTGATTTCAACTCTTCTTTAACTGCTATAAGCCATTCATCTTTGTCTTCCATACTCATTGCTTCTTTAAAACTAATGGGATCATGATTTATGACAGCCAAAAGAGCAAATACTGACTCATCTTTATCTTCTAAGTCAATGCTTTTTATTTCACTTAAAAACGCAAAGCTGACATCTACTACCATTCGAGCATCAAAAGTTCCTTTATCCATGGCCTTATAGTCTTTGGCAGTTTTTACATTTCTTTTCGGTTGCTTTCTAATGGGCTCTACATCTATAGTTTGTTCCTTAGATTGGGCCTTCTTACTCCCTTTAGATTTAGGTTTGGCTGAACTATCGACTCCCATGTTTTGGTTTGATGTCAGTTTCATGTTTATAAGATTATCTTCTTCGACTTCTAATACTTCTAAATTATCTCCATATAAATGCACTGTCTTTTCTTTCTCATCTTCTAATTCAATATCTTGATTTCTTTTAATGCTATCTTCTAAAATTCTTTTGTTCTCAATATTTTTGTATGTTAGTTTTTCCTTGATTTTAACGTGCTTTGAGTGAACAAATTTTCCCGAGCTGGGATGCCATAGTATATAACCATTTGATGTCTGACCTACCAGCACACCTTTAATAGCCTTGGCTGAGAATTTTGTTTCAAGGGCGTGTTTCGTAGCATAAGCAATACTTCCAAACCTTCTAATTTTGTCTATGTGGCATTTGCCTTCAGAATTTATTAACTTCAAAGGAATCTTGAAGTCAATTGATTTATTAGGAGTTCTATTATATAAGTTTATAGATACATCTACAGCAAGTGGCCACATACTCTTGGGCAAATCGGAATCAATCATAAGTGACCTAGTTTTCTCAATAAGGCTTCTATTAAATATTTCTGCAGTACCATTATGTGGTGGAGTATAAGGGCTAGAAAAATTTGGTTCTATGCCCTCCTTTTTCATTACTTCCAAAAACTTTCCTCCTGTGAATTCAGTACCATTATCAGCACGGATAAAACTAACCTTTTCATTTTTACCTAGCAGATTTCGTGCACTAACCAAAAAAACTTCTAAACAATCACCTGATTCAGACTTGTGTTTTACCGAATAGGCCATTGCAAATTTGGTGTAGTCATCTACAAAAACTATTATATATCGACATTGATCTGGGAATGAAGTTGGTTTAATTGGACCAATGGTATCTGCATGAATCATATAAAGTAGCTTTGTCGCTCTGGTTCTAGTTTCTTTAAATGGTAATTTCGTCAATTTAGCAAAAATACAGATTTCACAGTTCATTATATTTTTATCGAATTTTATCCCTTTCAAGTTTACATCTAATTTCTGTAATTCTTTGAGATAAGCCAATGAAGGGTGACCTAATCTAACATGCCATAACATACCTTCGTTTAATTTCTCAGTGTGGAGTTTTTCTAATTCAAATGACGTGAACAGGTCTTCTATTTTATCTGCATCTTCTAAATCTATGTCTACCAATTTATAATTTAAGTATTTGAGTGAGGGATTATTGTTAAGTATTGAACTAGAATTTATTTCGTCCACAATGCACTCCCTCTCAATTTCAGCATCTATATCTTTATTTTTGTTATTTTCGTCTAACTGATCGGATGATTTAATATGAGTTTCATCGAGGACTTCATCAAGAGTGATCATTCTCGCGTCACATCTATAACTATGATATTTTTCCTCTAAAGCATCAACAAGATTCTTAATACTCAGCGATATAATCCAATTTGGTTTACTATAAACGCCTGATAAATACACATGATTTGTTTCTTTGTCAAAAATTTTCAAAATTCGATCATCTAAATATATACTAAAACCTGCATCAACAAACTTCCTAAGGAACATTAGATTTTCACTAATATTATCCGCAGCTAGAACGTTTGATAGTACAATAGTTTTACCCTCACTATCAAGTTTTTCTAGAACAAGGTCCCCTTTTCCATCTATTTTAATATCAGCAGTACTATTTTTATTCGCACTTCTAATAACTGCCCCGGGACATTCTTTAAAGTTGGATAGAATAAAGCCTTTATTTACTATATGTTCTGTTGCACCGGAATCAGCCAGGAAACTTATATTATGGATTGAGGTATGAGTATTACTCTTACCTTGGACCGTTGCATGTGCTGCTGCAGTTTTGGCGTTATTCTGTTGCTAATTATGTGGGGTGTATGGTCTAGCGTTGGATTTAAAGGATCGACTTTTACCTCTAAATATACCCCCACCTCTGTTTTCTTAATATTTTTACCTCGATAATTATTACTTCTACCTCTATTGTTATTATTATTATTGCCTCTTCCTCTAAAACCTCCGTTATAGCCGACTCCCTCTGAACCCTGACTCTTTTTGTAATTACCTCTATAATTGTTATTTAGATATCCTCTAGATCCATAATTGCCTCGTCCATTGTTAGGACAGCTTCTTCCATTGTGAGAAGCTATCCTACGACATACGTAGCAGAACCACTCATTTGTTGCAATGAGTGGGCAGTCACCTTTTGCATGCCCATGCTCATTGCAACGCCAACAAGCATCAGTGCACCACGGTGACCAAGGGAAGGCTGAACAGGCTGAAAATATTGGCCATATTTGCTTGACCTCTAGCTTCTAATTGCTTTCTGTGAGCATTTGCTTCTAACTGCAACACAATTGATTTTATTTCATCTAAAGTCATGTTGCTATTTTCTGGATTAGCCTTTTTAATCGAATATGAAATGCTAAGTCCTGGGAACTCGTCTTTCACAGCTTGATAAAATGCACACCTCTTTTCAGCCTCGGTAAGAGGTAATTCCCTTCCACAAAGTTCTAACTCCTTTATTACAGCATTAAACCTGTCACAAAATTTATCGACCTTTTCGCTTTTACCTATTTTCATGGAATAAAGTTTAGCTCTCACCGTTACTTCAGAGACGTTATTCTCAAGTTTCTTTGCATCTTTTATTATTGACAAAATACAACATCTAAAATTTTCTTATGATAGTCTTCCTCTAAATGATTAATTATTTTGTCTGTAACTATTTTGTTTCTTCTAAACTTTTCTGATGTATTATATGACTCAGTACAAGGTATTGAGGGATCTATTACAACTAAAAGATCTCTAGCTTCTAATTCAGAATTCAAATAGTCAAACCAAATGTCTAGGTTCATGCTTCTAGTCAATTTGTATTCACGTTTAAAATTATCCTTCGCTACAGTATTATTTTTTGCAATAGAGTGTGCTAGCGCGCCTATAGATTCTGATAATTCTTTATTAATGTCAATTGATTTTTCAGTGACGGATTCTCTCATAGTGTTATTTGAAACTGGTTGTACTAAGTTTTGAAAATTAATGTTTGTGGCATCTAATATAGCGGAATTATTTGGTATTTGGGTTGCTAAATTAGTATTATTTATACTAGTCGAGCTATTAGGAGTTAATAAATTGTTGGGCTGTGTGTGATTTACCTCTAAAAGTCTAATAGTAGCATTTTCTAAATCAAGGTTCTTTTGGAGTACTCCTTCTGCTGCTGCCACAGCTGCCTTCAGAGTTGCTATCTCTGCTTCATTTGATTGCAGCATCTCTTCTACTTGGTCCAGTCTTTGTCTGAGCAAACTGTTTGCTCCTTTGTCGAACGGCAACAGAAAAGCAGCTGGTGTGCTTGGTTCAAGCAAACCAGGGAACTTTTGGTTCAGTCTATTAATCACTTCTAAGGTGACTCTGTCTAGAACAGCATCTGCTATTCTGGCAGAGTCCACAATTCCTCCAGGTGTTGTTTGAACACCTGTATCGGAATTCAATGTGGATTGTGTTGGGATGTCATCAACACCTCCCTGAGCAGCAACATCCTCCTCAATATTACTAGAGCTACTGAAAGTCTCCTCAGCATAGTTGTTGCTGTTTGCGTCATCTAAATAAAATGAAAATCTAATTAATGTTTGGATTTTTGTTTATAACTTCTATAATGAACTTCTAGTGGCGGATCCGCACATCTACTTATAATATGACTTCTATTTAAATCTTCATGTGATTTATATATATGTAATTTTATTTTAATTGTTATCATTTTGTTATCCTTACCATGAGAAACATAAGCCCTTCTTAAGGTGGGTGGTGTTCCCGGAGGAGTGCCGATTTCGGCATCAATATGTTGTGTGACGTCACCCATTTCGTTGAGTAGTAGGCCTCTAGATAAATACCAAACATTTCAATTGGTTTCTCATGGATATTTTGTAGTTTCTTTTCCTTCCTGTCAAAACATTTGATAGTTCGGATTGGAAACAACGTTTGCTCTTAGCACACACTAATACTCAACACATGCACCCCACTAAAAACAAAATCGTACAACGACAAAGTTTTAAAAGTAGGGGGCGATCGCACACATGCAAAGCACC